TTCAGGTGGACACCGACGGGTGGGTGGGTGGATGGGGGGGAGAGAAGCGACACATTTCCACGCTTGCTTCCTCCGCAGCCGCCTGGCACCGAGGGTCATCGCTACCTGCCGCCCCCCACGGCTCGTCCCCCCTTCTCCGGCTCGCTTTTAAGCGAAGGACGAAGAGGAAAGGGCGTCCCGAAGTCCGCTCCGTCTGTCAACCGCGGAGAGCCCCGTTTGAATGGACGGATCCCTCCCTGGAAACGGGGCGCCTTTCCAAAGCAGAACCGCGGAAAAATACCCAAACCTCGAAAAGTCAGTCGCTTCCCTCTCTCTTTTATTACTCCCCCCGTCCGCTCCCTCGAGGGTGGGAGAGAAGCAAAAAAAAAAAAGCCCACCCACCGACGATAGCTTCCCACCGACGAAAACAAGTCCGGGAGCCCGCGAACAAAGGGAAAGCCGGAACAGGCACGCCGCACGTCGGTGTAGCAAGATGGTCACTTGCCGGGGGGACCGGGGAATGGGGAGGGGGGGCGTCGAGGCACATCAATAAATCAACAGCCCCGAGGAGGGGAGGCGGACGCGGCCCCGATCCTCACGGCAGCTCTCACCTTGGTGGAGATCTCGGAGCTGGTATCCACGACCGTGTCTGACATGGCTGGGGGCGGCGGGTCGCTGGAGGTGGAAAGGCCGGGGGGGAGAGGAAAAAAACAAGGCTGCAAATATATATATATATATATATCAGCTCCCAAAGCAGACGGCTCCGACGGCGCGCACCGCGGCGAAAAAAAGAAGAAGCGGCGAGGGGGACTCGCAGTGCAAAAAAAATAATAATAATCCGGCAGCCCCTGGCCGAGGCAGGAACAATGCAAAGATGGCTTTGGACGGAGCCAGTGGGGGACTCACGCGGCGCCACTAGCTTTAATATAGATTAGTGGGCGGTGCGCGCCCGCCCCTGCTCGGCCCCCATTGGGCGGCCGCGGCCGAGACGGGCCCGCCGATTGGCGGCGGGGCAAACAATGGGCAAGGCCGCTTAAAGCGGTACAAGGGTCCTCCCTCCCCGCCTCC